TAGTACTGGCCAATTAATAACTTATTTTAAGTATTAAAAATATTATTAATAGTATTTTTAATACTGTGAAAATAAGTGATTAATTGGCCAGTATTAGTATTAAAGGTCTATAAGAGACGTTTTCTTATGAGAAACGTAACTTTGTCGAATGTAATTAGTAATAAAAGTATTGAAGAGAAATAGTACAAATTTAAAAATTCAATTTTTTTTATACATATAGATCCTAAATTACTGAAACTTTTTGCAAAATTAGGTTAATTTTCACAACACGGTTTCAGAGAAATTATTATTCATAACAATTTTGCGGTATGTATGTATGTATGGCTCAATATGGTGTATTCTGCTATATTTTGCTGTAATAATATATTTATATTATTTAAATAATGCATATTTATCTTTTTTTAATCATATTGCAGTTACTTTTTCCGTTTTGCACTAGTAAATAATGTTTTATTATAGAAAGTTGAAAAATGACAAATAAAGTTAATAAAATATTGAAAAAGTGAAAAATAACTTTTTAAAAATAAATATATTGTATTATCTATCATTTATATAAGTTATCACTAGATTTACTACACGTTTGGCGCAGTTATGCAAATATTTCGAATTTGGGGGACTTTTGTCAACGACTGTATTTCAGATACATACTTAATTGAAACATTGTATCTTGGTATATTTTACAGCAGATTGTTATAAAAATGGCTCATACACAGAAATTTTTGTTGTGTTAAACCGTAAATTAAATTTTAATGTATTGCTACCGATTCCAATTCTTTATCCCTTTTTATCTATTTCCTATCTTTTGATCAAAAAGATGACACATCTTTTAAGCATATGTTGCAGGCGTAAAGCGAGTTTTAAAGTACATGTGAGCCTTATTTAGTGCTGAGCTTTATTCGGTTCAGGTATTTTATTTTAAATACTGCTCTCAGAATTACGCTCAAAAAATTTTGATCATTTTTAATTCAATGAGTGATCGTTAATCAATGTCGACTTAATTTTTAATTAATTCATTGATACAATAACTGGATTCATTTATATAACTACATATTCATTCTTGTAATGAATTCTAGTAATAGTTTTATAACCTACATCATTATGAGATTTATTGAATCAATTTTCATTAATTTAATGAATATTTTATTGTATTTATGTATACATAGTTTTGGTTCAGTGTATGATTGCGCGCCAATTACTTTCGGATTTATAACTCAATTAATTTGAGATGCTAATAATTCCCTGAAATTAAATTAAAATCTGTGAAGAATTTATTGCGAAAAATATTATCTAGGCTGGGAATCGAATTCGGATTTCACGTATACCATACTAGCGTCCTCAGAGACTAGCGTTCTCACAGATAAAAATATTTTTTGCAATAGGTTCTTTACAAATTTTGATTTAATTTGGGAAGGATTTTATTAGTATTTTAGATTGTTGCAAATTCGAACAATAATAATTGGCGTGTAATCAAAATTCTGAGATAAATGTATATAAAAATATTGATTATCCTAAATATTTAACTTTAGCAGTAATTGACGCTCTCGTATTTAGTTAATTTATTTATGTAAGCGGTTCTGTTTCAAATATTAATGTTTTGTAGGAGTGTTCAATAAGGCTGAGGATATTATTTTAAAAAATAAAAATAATGTATTGCAAAAATAACTCAGTCTGTTGTGACTGATGTGATAGAAATTTTTAATGTTTCTTCGAACGACAGTATTGAGACAAATCCGGAAATCGATCAACAACAAAGTCATCATAGTATATACACACATCCGGCAAATATTCATTGTTATTCTCCAATACAGCAACTTTATTATTTAATAACTATCCGATTATTGATGAAATATTCAAGTAATAATTTTATATGAAAGAGAAAGTGTAAGAGTTAACGCGACTGTTGGTTGCGTAAAAAGAAAAAATACTAGATCTTCATTACATTAAATGTGTCAATATATAATGATATTTTCGTAAGTTTTATTTCCTAAATTTACTTCTTAAATTTACATTAAATGCGTAAGGATTTAATATTGGAAATCTAATTTACGAATATTATGATACTTTTACATGTTTAATGTAACGTCAATTTGGGATTAAATTCTTTATTCTTTTCTTTTTCACACCGACATCCGCGTTGACTCTTAATGCCCATGCCGGTTCTACATTAGTCGCATCGCAGCGTCGCAAGCTTACGGTCCAATCAATGTCGAGCTAGGTCGATTCTGATTGGACCGCAATGCTTGCGACACGCTTGCGACGCTGCGATGCGACTAATGTAGAACCAGCTTTAGTGGTGTAGTATGATGAGCGCAAGTCTTGGCGGATCAACGTGCTCCAAATCCAAATGCTCCCCCAAGAGATTTTCACCACTAGATCTCAGGATCAATAGTTTCGTATGCATTTTGAAATATTTCTGCCAAAAAATTCGTTATATTAAATATATAAAATTTGTTTTATTTTAAAGTTCTCTAGCACCCTTTCCCTTACTACTTTATTCTTAATATTAAGTTTAAAATAAATTAAAACAAATTAAAAACTGGCAAAAAGTATTTTTATAATAAAATCATTATCGGTTGAGAAAGTCTTTAAAAATCTTACAAGTTCAAAGTTTGCTTTTCAAGACCGAAAAATCATTTCGGCGCCCATTTTAAAGGACTGATAATGATATTTAAAAAAAGTTAAATGATTATGTTTTAAACATAATCAGTTATCTTCTCCTCATTTTATAAATTTATTTAAGTATTCGTGGTACAAAAGTAGATATTTATAAGAGAAGTCACTCGATTTTGATAATCTTGTAGATTATTGTTTCAAAAATTGTGAAAGTTTCTGCGTATTAATGTGTAATAATATAGCAATCATAAAGTGCGCTTGGTGTACAAAATCTTTATACATACAAGAATTTTTTTTAATATTATTTCTGCAGAGTACATAGAATAAAAACTAAAAAAATAAACATGAGTAAGAAGTGGCATAACTGTAAACAAAAATTGGAAAAAATATAAAAATATAAAAAATGTAAAAATATAAAAAAATTATAAAAACAAAATATAGAAGCAAAAAGCGAGATAAGATTGTTTCTCTTTTAGCAGGTCGCCATATTGGGTCTGCAATTTTTGAATTCTACATTTTTTTACACTGGATTTGCTTTCAGGAAACACGGAAGTCTCTTATCATCTCTAAAATTCAGAAGTAGCTGTAATAGAGTGAGCTAAAATGTAAGAAATTAAGCTTGTGTACTTGTGCTTAGCACTATAAGGATAGTGTGCACTCTTAAACCTGCACCATTGCTAATATAAAAAAAAATATGTGTCTATTATTTTCGTCTGCTTTACAAAAATATACCAAGTTTCATTAAATTCTACGAGTCACGGAAAAGTTTTGCACTAAAAATTCATTTCTACGTAAAAATGGAAATAAGTACAACCTTCAATGGCCTTGATCTTGACAAATGTTATCCAGGTCATGATCTTGAACAACATTTAAGAGGTTTTAGCCGTCGGACATCTTGGGTAATGCTAATGCCGGCGGTGCTGTAACTTGCAAGCCTTATAACTCGAAAAATAGTTAATGAAAATGAACCTAATTACAGTGTTTTGAAAAACTGTCGAGATAAGCTACAAGAATATGTAATAAAAAATGGGCGGTTCCATTAAAAAAATTCAAAGTGACTTTGCCCTGATCTTGACAACGCCATCCAAGGTCAAACTGATAGTACCATCTTATGTTTCCCACCGAACCATACAACGTTTGTTTGAAATATTTTTCCGTATCTACCATAATTTCCGAGAAATCTTAATGCATTATTTAAAATGGGACACCCTGTATATAATATATATATAGTTAACACTATTCACGCGCTCGCATACACACACACACACATATACATACATATTATGTTTACACATAAATAAATATTCATTAAAATTTATTATATTTTTCTCAATGCGATATCTATTTATTTCTTTTACATACACGTCAATGTTCAAGAATACATTACATAAACGTAGCCATAGAAGAAAGGCCCCTATTATGAGATACCAAGTTTATTTTGTGTAAATGCTAGAAGTCTATGGACAGAATTTTAAAAAATAATAGGTCATTTTGAAGGGAATTTAATAAGTTTTAAAATAATATTATGTAAAATTTAATTCAAATTCTATTCTTTTTTAAATCAAAGAAATGTAAAAAGTGAGCAAATCGTCAAAATTGTACTTCTAATATGAGATGCTCAGAGAAATCGATAGTAAAACGCATACATCAGTATTGTAATTAAAAAAGTTTTATTTAATGTTTCTAAAATATAAACAAATACAGCCAGTGCGCGTGCAAAATGAGCATGCGATGCATGTACCTAGGACTCGTCTTCAGGTAGTTGGAACTAAGCATCGCAAAAACAGGCACTTAATGTTCATTTCGATTGTCCTTTTTATTATTGTACCATAAAATTTATACTTTAGCAACGATTTTCACTGCGACATAGAAGAATAGGTTATTTCATATTAGAAATATACTGGGTATCTTATATTACAATTTTCACGCCGGTTTTATGATCATCAAATCTAACTTCTTTAATTACGCAATTCAACATATCTCGTATTTTTCTATTAGTACGACCTTATTCTATCATTACATGAAGAATTTGTTGCCAAATATTTACTTATTAAATAATAAACAAGGTTTAAAGGCTCATCTCAGTGAAACGTGAAGACATCCAAATTCTAAAATCTTTTTTTACAATGACTACAGGCATGATCTAATACTGAATTTTCCACTAAATTGTTTTCAATCCAAGAGCAATAAATTCATGGTGGAACCAATAAATAGCGTTTATTAGTTTAGCAAAAACGCCACTATCTCATATTAGGTGCCTATCTTATAATAGGGGGCTTTCTTCTACATACATATCTTAAAATTGTTCTTTTATTATGAAAAAAAGTTTATTTGATATGTTGCCATATATGTCAAAATATGCAATAAAATATTAAATATAAAGATACCTTAGTAGGTGCAAGAAGAAAAGCATTTTGTATTCTTTTGTATCTCTGCAATAGGAATTGAGAGAACACGGAAGTTTACTTCGTTGCTATTAAATGTATTATTATTAAAGTATACATTATAGATATGTAAATGATATTTATTTGATAAGACCAATAATTCGCCGTTTCTAATCTTCATCCCGCTTACAAATTCCATTTTTGGATCATATGCAACGAGCGCCTTAGAAAAAGTAGTATTTATGATAATAAAAATATAATGCTGAGAGTTATTGTTAACAATAATCATAAATAATTTGTAAAATAATTTGGTACGAAGAATAATTATATTCGGATATCTTACCTTGTTTTTGGAATTAATTTCCTTAGTTGCGTCCGCGCACATAATAGACGTTTTTGTAATATCACTGAAAAATATTCCACATCTGTCAGATGTTATCGCAACTGTTTGGCCTCCTAATGCGCCCGCCAATTTAGTTTCTTTATTAGCTTCATTAATATCCTTTGGCGAACATTCTATTAAGTTCGACATTTTTGTCTTATACATTTTGTTTCCCGCGAAAGGAACATAGTATAAATCTAAAATTTACAATGAAAGTGTTAACAGTTACAAAAAATATCGATAATTGCTTGTTTAAATTCGTAAAACTTGTCTTAGTTCAAAAGATTCTGTAAGCAAAATGTTAGCAAAATATGCACATTAGCAGTAAGTTCGAACAGAAAATGTCAGCAGATTGAAATTACATCAATTGCTGTCGTATTCTGCTTCTGTTCTGTCGACAGAACCTGTTGACACAATTACAGCAAATTGGCAGTAGAAATCAAGCAGAACCTACTGACAAAATCTGATAGTAGATTAACATTTAATGGTAGAAATCGAACAGAATCTGCGCGAAATAGAGCAGTTCTGCTGTAGGTATTTAAATCGTGACGTTGTGTATTGAAAGATCTTTAAAAATTACATTTTCATCTTTTTTTTGTTTTCATTTTAAGCGAATTTGAATATAATAAAAAAAATAATAAATAAACATATTTTTTTATTAAACGAAGTTTTTGTTAGATTTCTAGTTGCAATTTGCTGATATGGAGATATTGTAGATTCCATGAGGAATTTATTGCTTCTTTGATGACATCAAAGAACTTATAGTAGACTCTGCTCAAAATTTATTTTTTCAGCTATCTGGAAATTTTCTCTTTTGGATAAAAAAAAAATACTTGCCTTCACCAATAATTGTTATACCGTAGATAGTGTCCCTATTAGGATATCGGTGATTTGCTAACACGATATCTTCATTAGTTGACTTCATGAAATCAGAATCGATTCTGCATAATTTTGAAGTATATCCGTTATATACTACTATGCCACCACCTTCCACATCTCCTATGAATACCTAAGAACCACGATTTTATTAATACAATATTATAGGTGCATATTTATTTAAAATATGAACTCTCTCTCTCTCTCTATCGATTTCTTGTACTAAACAATTTTTCTTAAATTAAAAAGGAAATACTAACAATCGCATTATCCTTCACATTTTGACAAATCGGGGCAAAAACAGCAATTGAAGCCAACAATCCGATGCCAATTTTATTATGAGCAATGTCAAATGGAATAGTAACACGTTTAACCAATTTATCAGTTGATAAATCAAAGATCAGTAGCTGTGGTAAGCATAATTGTTCGTCCCCAATTCTGCCCTCATCCACAACGAATAGATGATTGCATTTAATCTGAGATAGTAAAAAAACGCAAATGATTTAGGGTAAGGCCACTAGTGGATCACTTTTAAAAAAAAAATTTGTATTTTTATCTAGAACGATACCGAACAATTAATAAAATATTTAATAGTTATAACTGATCATAAAGATTACATTATAAATAATTTTATTTCATTTCGGTACCGTTTTATATGTTTTGATTTTAATTAAAAGAAGTAATGACAGTTATTCACATTTAGATCTCATGTACTAATTGCGGATCAGTTTACCAAATGCTTTATCCTTTTTAGATTTAATTTCAACTGAGCATATGATATTGATTTTTTTTATGAAATCTGATGTTATTTACTATCTCCTGTAAAAGGTAATCCTTATGGTATTATTATTATGGTATTGTAATGGCAATCCTTAATGGTACTTTGAATGAATTTTTAAAGATACGTACTTTAGTAACTTTAATTTATCTATCACGTTTTATTAGTTAACGACATCAATAAAATGTGTAGCGATGTTGCTAATAAATAAAATACAACTGACACTTGAAAAAGATAAAACAAATGCTAAAGAATCTTGTGATATTCATCATTTGATGGAAAATATTATAATTATTTAAATATAATATGTGATCCGGAATTAGTGCCTGATCGGCATTTAGTGCTGTTATCCTATATTTTATTGTTTTTACATAAATAAATTATTAGCAATATGTTAGTGTTATAATATTCAACATACTTTAGGTTATTAAACGCTACACAGTTGAATATATAATTTGTCACTTAGATGGAAGATATTGACTTGTATACTAACTTGTATTTGATAAATACCGCCTGTAATACCTTTACAATCATCTTTATACCAAGACCAATCTGGATATGGACGCAGAAGTAGCCCACCTTCTCCTTGTTTTTCAGTTACGGTCAGCACACTAACTGGTATGCCTTTGTCTCTCATCGCAGTAATAAATACTCTACCATCTATAAGAAGTTCGTTTGAAAACGCAACTTGTGTTAGATGTATTAGATATACATATTTATCGTGAATCTATATATTACAATTTTATTACAATAACAGTTATTTGTTCCATTAACAATATTAAAATCATATGATCAAACTGAGAACGTGATGACGTTTGATACAACAGTAATAAAGAAACTCATAAAGAATCTCCATATAAAGAATTATTACAAAACTTATGAATAATGTCAACTTACCATTCGCCCTATCTATGTCGTATAAATAAGCTAAATTAGGATCGTATTTGCCGAGGTTTATCGCTTCTTCTTTTTGTCGTGGATTGTCCCAGAGAATATCTAGGTATTTCCATTCGTATTTGAGAAGCACTTTGCCGAAACTCATAATTGTCATCGACAAAAGTGATATAGCAAGCAAAAAACGTTTCATTTTTTCGTATTATATAATCAGGTATATGCGCAATAATATATATAGCTAAACGGAGCTATATAAGAAATACGTGTTTCGTGGAAACGGATACATGAATGAGACTTATCTTGTCAAGTATTTATTATATATTTATTATATATTCGCATTAAAATGTATATGAAAATTCAAAAATATATCCTCATTTAGCTTGTCACTGATAAACAATTGCGTCCTAATTAGAAGTCGAACTTATTGTCAGAATTGTTGATACAGCATTTATTTATTTTTTTTCTTTTCGTAAGATATACATATATTATATTTAACGCATTTACATATGTATTGCTTTATATAGTGTAGTCATTGATAATATATCTAGAACATTTAGTGAATATATATTGTATATTCAGTTGATATAATTATTATAAACAGTATAATGTATAGGATATGTATACAATGTCTACAGAATTTGCATGTATATAAAATGTAACATATTATTTTATCAGCAATATGGAATCATTGTACATAAACTATTCTTAAATAATTTATCCTTAAATTAAAATTATTTAAACTATACTTATAATTTATATACTTATATAATTCATTAAAAATGTCCGTAAATCCACAGTTTATTTCCTGTAACATACACGCATATATATCTTTAAATTATTCTTTTATCATGAAAGAAAGTTTGTTTAGTATGTTCCCATATTTGTCAATAAATAATAAAAATTTAAAAACATAACTTGTCTAGATGTATTAGATATATTTATTATAAATATATTTAATCATATGATTTCGATATTGCAAATGCAACAAATAACTGCTATTGAAATAAAACAGTAACATATATATTATATAGATATATATTTTTATATTAATTAAGTGGTATTTATTTTCTCGTAACATTCACCGAACTTTATTGCAACATCACACATATGATGTATTTTTCGAAGCGACTTTTGTTCTCGATTACTGTGACATATTTATTATGTACATATAAATTTACGTGTTATATAATAAAATGAAATGAGATCGTAGGCGTAAGTGGCAAGACCGGTGAATGATACAAGTACGATAATTCAAGCTTTTCATAATTCATATATGTACAAGCATTTAAATACTAAGTACATGAAGACATAAACATCTTTAAAAATAGATACGTAATGAAAACCTAGTAGTTACGCTATTATTAGCGACAAATAACGTCAGTTTTTTTATCTATGTAATGATTTAATGAACACATAAAACTTTGTCCCAGAAACCTTTACGTCACCCTGGTATTCTTGGCACTTTCATTCTCTAAATCATGGACATAAAGGATTAGCGTAAATTGACTTCAGTGTTTCTTCGTTACGAATATAGCGAAAGTATACAGAGAGAATGGGGACGTGCTACAAGTGGGAGGTGCATACGTGGAAGTCCATCAATGTCGTTATATAGTGATTTGATTCGGAGCAATTGATATTTTGTGGTTAAGACTGTGGTTATAACTGGTATAGCTTTTCCGACTACGACAAGCAATTTCGCGCAAAGCACGTCCAATCTATTATTGACCAAGTGGTGGAATGTTTCCGCTTGTATTCACATGTATCTGATTGTAATCCCGCGACAAATTACTTTGATATTCCTTTAACCAAATTTTTATTTTGCAATTATAATTTTCAATATTTATTACAACACTTGAGATATTGTTTTTATTAAATGTTTATTGTTAAAGGCAGCTATTAGTTTCAATAAGACTTCTATCTTTTCGAGAAATTTCTACGTTCCTTATTATCTTTAGATATTTATAAGAATAATTTTGTAAAGAAAATAACATTATTATCAGACTTGTATATCAATCGAGACACCTTCTTCGTATCGTGTCACATGTACCGCACTGAAAATATGTACTAAATTTTACTAAACTAGAACATAAGAAGCGCGCGCTTTGCGCGCGCCATTAAATTCTTATTAAAAAAATGAGAATATTTACTAAATATTTACTAAATGCAAGTATATATTTATTTGATACAAGAACATTAATTTGATTTATCAATTCTTTTTATTGAATAAATATTTATTTACTGTAAGTAAATATTTAGTTGGTACTATTCAAATAAATATTTATTAAAATTTAGTATATATATTTTTTCTCACTGCTATTTACTATATGCGTTTAATTCCCTTAAATACATGTCATTGTTCAAGAATGCTTTATATCTCATAAGGATGAGAACAACAATTTTTCCCTGTTGTTATTCTCTGTAATGTTTAACGAAGTATCTCGATACTTCATGGTATACGGTTCCCGTGTTCTCTTTTTCTGAATGAGTTATTCTGTTAAAATGCCTTTTTATTTCGCGCCTCCCACGCTATTTTGACTTACGTCACCCCGCATGATGAGACGCATTCGTTGCCAATCGCGAGTATTATATAAATGCGCATCGCGCGTCCGCAAAGTTTCAGCCCTCCATCCTTCCGCGAGCGTCGCGCACAACAATCGTTTCCGTTTATTCGCCGACAATGCGCCAAACTTTCCAGTTGGACCGCGCGCTGGCTGGCTGCACGGCGCTGGGTAAGCTCGGCACGATGTATTTGCTCGACTGTTCTCGGCCGGGAAACTTGGAAATTTATTCCTGAGGAAATTCGCGCGTTTGAATTTTTAGCAGGCTGACGCGCAGAACTTTCTTTCTTACGGTGGTAGCAAAACGCCGCCCACCCTCTCGCTTAATCGTCTATAAGAAAGCGATTCTGCTCGAGTCAATCTCTCTGCCTTCTCTTCGCGTGAAACGAGGGCAAAAAGGTCGCTAGAGATCCAAGAATTCATTCGCACCGTTGTGCTCTTCACCCTCTTCTCCACGCGAGAAGTGATTGATCGATCTCTCTCTTTCTCTCTTCACATTTGTTTCGCGTTGAACATGTTCAAATGGATCGAAAACAGTTTGTTACCGACTTAACATGCGGCTAGAAAAGGAAATTAAATTCTTGATCTATAGAACAAGAACGTGCACTCCAATATTGATAGACGTATCGATTATAACTGATTTTTATCAGTGTGAGATAGGTAAAGGTGAATAATTTTTCTTTTACAATCACAATAAAAATATAACAACAGCAATAATAAGTTCTGAAAATTATTTAATATATAATACATTGCGCAATTTTATAGATATATTTTCGTACGTAACAATATATTGTACTGGAATAAAAGTTCATAGTGCTGCTTCATTTGTATCATGTTTACATGTTTTTTAAAAAAATTGCCTGTTATACCTTTCGATAAAGCAAAGTTTCAGCTTCAAGAATCTGTTTTTTTTTTTAAATTGTTCATACCACGGTGATTTTTAATGGAATTATAAGCAATCAAAATTAAAATGCTAATTTTATTTAATCCGGATAAGAATTTATAATAAAAAAAAGCTTTTAGGAATATTTTTAAAACGATTTTATAGAAAAGTTCAAGCTTTTACGTTAAAAAGTCAAAAGTATTTGCAAATCTTTCTTGGACACGTCACAGATCCACAAAGTGAGAAATCCCCAGCTCGTAGTTTTTTATATGTAAAAATAACCAAACACAGAAATTCGAGAAACATAGTAACGTTCGAAAGTAGAAATCTAATTAGCTTTAAAACTCTTTTATTAAATTTAAATTTTATTTATTTTTAATGAAGTTATAGCTGCTTGAATTTGAAGTTTGTTATAGCGTTACTTTTGTTCCAACCTAATATCTATCTTCCCTATCGAAAATCGGAATGATCGATAAGCGTAACATCTCACAAATTTTTGTGTATAAGGCATAATCAAGAAGATAGATAAAGCTTATATAACTTTGATGACGTTAAAGCATCACTTTGAAGCAACATCTTTGTCGTCCGCGTCTCTTCCTTTTACCTTCACCTCGTTGGATTGTAATTCCGAGCGCATTGATTCGACGTAGGTACATATGACGCCGACTGCAGTACACAACGGCCGTAACTTCGAGAACTTTTGTTTGAATTATGTTGAACGAATCGTGGAAACTGGTGACGCTATCGGTGCGTCAGTCGACAGAAACAGTCGTAATGTGCCACTCGAGTTCAGTTCTGTCGCCAGCAAGGCAAGGCAGTAATGGCGTTGCAAGCTGCAGGCAGCTACCAACTACCACTGATGATACGAATCACACAAAAGCTCGCTGCGAGAATGTCCCTTTGTGAAAGAGAGAGAGACAGAGAGATACAGAGATAAGGTTTCTTTTATCCACTTGCTTGCTTCCTAGAAACATTGTTGCTCGATGCAACACCGAAAAATTCGGCTATCGGGAAGTCAAGTATGGTTTTCACAACAATTACAACAATTATTAGGAATAAATAAAATAATGATTGCGGTAATTATATGAAGTCTTGGTTTACAAAAGATTCATAGTAACGAGAAATATTACAGAGAAAAATGTTTTAATTTTGAATTAGAATCTTTCTAGTTTTTTAACTAGTTATAAAAAAATTTTTGAATGCAAATTGCAGTCACTTTAATCATGTGGAAATTGTGGGCGCTTCACGTTGAAAAGTGTTACGCAGTATGTACATATATCGAAGTAAGCTATTACCATCTGCGTCCACGTTTCGTTTCGTTCTGGCCTCCCTCGAGCTGAAATATTACAAAACGATGCGATTGTTGAATATATAGAGACATCTCGGTCAAAATGCGGTTTCGCGCAGCGCGTTTAATTGCGACGAAATTTACGTCGATCAAATCGTTGACGCGGATAACGGCGAAAATTTATTGTCGCGCTAAACGACAAGTCCCCTCCCATCTCGCCACGCGTATGATTCTGCTAATTATAATCGCGATATCCGTATTATTAATCGCCATTATCGATTGTATCATGCTGAACGCGCCGCCGATGACACGCAGGTTGACTTTGCCTGAAGCGTGACCGGTTTGCGAGGCGTAATGTAGTTAATCGTTATTGCTGCAAGCCCTTCTGTTAAACGTGGATAACAACAATATTAATAATCACGCTGATTTGATGGATATAAATATCAAGAAGCAAGAATTAACTG